TTTTTTTTTTTATTTTAACATTGTGTGTGTGTGTGTGTGTGTGTGTGGCCAGCTCAGCCCACCAGGGGGCGCGGCTGGCTGGCATGTGGTGCTGGAGGACCGAACCGCGGTCCCTGTGCTTTGCCAAGCTTGCTCCAAGTAGGTGCTTTAGACCACTGAGCCATCTCTCCAGCCCCAAACTCTTGGTTTCTTAAAAAAAAAAAAAAAAAAAAACCTTGAGATTCTGCTAGTGTTGTTTTTTGTTTTGTACTAGAAATCAAACTTGGGGCCCCACACTTGCCAGGCAGATGCTTGTGCCACTGAACTATATTCCCAGCTCTGCTAGGAATTATACTGAATCTATAAATTAATCTGGAAAGATCTGCTATCTCTACAATGTCACATATTCCAAAGGATGAACATGGGCCATCACTCCATTTTTTTTCCCCCGAGTGTTGGGGATCAAACTCAGCACCTTGTGCTTGTCTAGCAGGTGCTGATGTTGCTGAGCTATCTCTCTGGCCCCTCTATTTTCTTTTTTTTAAAATGTATTTAGTACAGGATCTACAGGGTCTCACTACACAGATCAGACTCATAGTGATCCTCCTGTTTTCAGCCTCCCACGGCTGTGATTACAGGCACATGCCACCATGCCCAGTCTCCTCCTCTTCTTTTTTTTTGAGAGAAGGCTGGCCTTAAACTTACAGGGTAGCCTAGGCTATCCCAGAACTCATAGTAACTCTCATGCCTCATCATCGCAAGTGTTGCAACCCCTTTAATTTCTCCAGTAATGTTTGATGGTTTAGAGTGTACCAGTCTTGTACTTCCTTTATTAAATCTATTTGTAAATATTTGATTCTTTTTATTGCATATGAAGTGGTTTTCCTCAGTTTCAGTTCTGGACTGCTTGTCACTAATTTATAGTAACAGAATTTTTTTTCTACACTGATCTTCTCTTGTTGTGCTACTGGGAATTAACCCCAAGGCCTTTCAACTGAGCCATACCCCAGCCTTTTTTAAAGTTTTGAGAAGGGCTTTTGCTAAACTGTTAAACCTCCCAGGCTAGGCTCAAACTTTCAGACCTCCTGGTTCAGCCTTTCAGCATGTTGGGACTATAGCATGTTGGCACACTATGCCACACCCCTCAGGTACAGGCACACTATGCTAAGCCTCACAGGGCACACTACGCCACACCCTGGTTCTAAGTGGACTTCTTCAACTTGTTTATGAATTATAGCATTTTTGATGATTTATGATTTTACACAAAATTACAGAATCATGTCATTTGCAAATAAAGTTTTACTTCACTCATTTCTATCAGTATGCATTAAAATACCTGCCGCCTGTTACACTGGCTAGACACCGTAATGAGGCCCTGTGTGCAGACCCCCACAACAATGTTGTTGTTGACCTTAGGGAAAAAGCATTCAGGCTTTCAACAGTAAGTATGGTGTTGGAAATAGTTTTGTTTTGTTTTTTTTTTTTTTTTGGCCGAACCAGGGCTTGAACTCAGGCCCTTGCGCTTGCCAGGGAAGTGCTTATTCCACTGAGCCATCTCCCCAGCCCAACAACAGGTTTTTCAGATGCTTTTAACTTGTTGAAGAAACTTCCTTGCAGTGTTTGCTTTTATGAAGAAAGCATATTGGATTTTGTCATGTATGTCTTGTGCTTTGTAATGTATCAGTTATCATCTATGTAGTACATTACCCTAAAAGTGGCTTGAACCAGCAGATACTTGGAATCCCACACTTTCTGTGGGTTAGGGGCATATGGATAACTTAGCAGAGCCCCTCACTCACAGGAACCTGCCATCAAGGCAACAGCTTGGCTGGGTCGTCTCCAGGTTGCACTGGGTCCCCATCTCTCTCTCTCTCTCTCTCTCTCTCTCTCTCTCTCTCTCTCTCTCTCTCTCTCTGGTGGAACTGGGGATTGAATTCAGGCCCTTGCACTTGCCAGGCAAGTGCTTATTCTACTGAGCCATCTCCCTAGCCCCTCTCCATCTCTTTTAAAGCTCATCTAAGTGGCCATCGACAGAAACACAGATCCAATTCTAAGCCCATTTTCTGCTTTGGTAGGTCTCTGGCCCCCACACATGGTTGGCTGGGGAAAGGTTCCTGGCCATGTGGACATCTCCACAGAGGGAGTCACTGCAGAGCAGCCTGTCGTCCTAAGAGCCAGCATCCCAGGAGAAAGAGCAGGACAGAAGGCTCAGTGCAACTTAATCTCAGAAACAACATCCCGTCCCTTTAGCAGCACTTATTCTATTGTTAGAAAAGAGTCATGAGGGCCCCTTAGGCCACAAGGGGAAAGGATTACCTAAGAGTGGAAATACCCAGAAGTGGGGATTACTGGAAGGCCATCTATTATAATGACATGATCATGTGGTTTTTGTCCTTTATTCCAGAGGTCAGCAAACTTTAGTTCTAGGGCCAAATCTTGCCTGCTGTCGGTCTTCATATGACCCACAAACTCAGCATGCTAGTTTATTCATTTTTGTGGTTTGGGGATCGAACTCAGGAGGCTCACAAGTGCTAGGCCAACACTTCATCACTGAGCACTTCCCCAGCCCTTTATTTTTTTGAGACAGTCTCCACAGGTTGCCAGCACTTGCCATGAACTTGTGATCCTCTAGCCTCAGCTTCCTAAGCTAAAGTACAGATGAGTGCTTCCACACCTGACCTCACATATAATTTGTTTTTTCCTTTAAATCTCTTGAGGTACTGAGGACTGAACCTAGGGACTCCTGTGTATTAGGCCAAGTGCTCTAAACTGACAACCCCAGATCTTTTCATTTTGAGAAAAGGTCTCACTAAATTTCTAAGTGGCCCAGACAGCTTGAACTCTCAATTCTCCTGGCTTAGCCTCTTAAAAGTACTGGGAGCCGGGGAGATGGCTCAGTGGAATAAGCG